GCACGTGCGCACGCACGTGCGCGCGCGCGCGCGTGCGCGCACACGCGCGCACACACACACACACACACACACACACACACACACACGCACGCACGCACAAAAAAAAAAACCCACCGTTTTCTAAAAATATATTACAAACCAGCTAGACGGCTCGGCAGGTAAAGATACTTGCTGCCAAGCCGGGGTTCGGTCACCAGAACCAAACGGTGGAAGAAGGGATCCAACGCCCACTCTTTGTCCTCTGACCTCTACGCCTGTGCTATGACACCCCCCCCCAATAAATAAATAAACTCTTTCAACGATATCAGAAAAACCTGGATTGCATTCCTACCTGGAACGGCAGGTCGCTATCCCGTGTCAGGGGGGGCCAACGGCTCTTTAGGGTGCCACGGTCCCCACTATTCCTAATGTCTCTTCCTTGCCACCAATAATCAAATTATTGTTTGTTCTTTAGTGTCCAACTACTTCCTTCCACTCTGTTATGTCATCCACTTGTCCCCTTTGTGAAGGAGCCCAGGTTGGCTTCTGTGCCCCTGAGAAGGATGCTCACACGGGCCAAGAAGCCTTCGGAGCTGGCATTGGATTCCTCGGGTCCAAATCTTTAAGTATGAAGCTGTAACTGGAATCTGGAAGCCTGTCTTGACAGCCTGCCCAGCTCTCATTATGACATTTAGCCTGTGATTGATACGGTGTGTCATGGAGACCTTGGCAGTTAATCTCTCCGTCGAATCTATGGAAACCAAACACAAGAGGTTTGCTTCCCCACCCCACCCCCCTCCCCTTTTGGCTGTGATCTGGGAAACAGACTCTCCCTGCCTCTAGAAGAATAAGGGATTTGGGAGCTGTGCGGGCAGGGTTTGGGGGTGCACGGGCCGTCTTCAGGGTTTGGAAAGATTACAGGTCTGTGGTTTCTGGACGGCCCCTTGCTTTGTTCTATCCCCCAGCACTGCGCTGGGGGATAATAGATCCCAGAGCCCTCTAAGTGCCAAGCCGCTCCGGGGAGACCTCACCACTTCCTCTTCTGTCTGGAAATGCAGCCAAGGTTTTAGATGTAGGGCCCGAGCCAGGGATGGTTCCCTCCACAGCCTAATGAGGAGAAAGAGGCCTCACCATGAGTGAGGCCAGCGTCGGTGATCCAAAGGAGGCAGACGGAGTTCCCACAATGCAATGGACTCTAGCATCTCCCTAAAATGTATCTTCCTGAGTCCCCTTGGTGACAAGCAGGACTCAAAGGAACCTAAAACCACAGTATTTAGGAATATGACGCCTAACTTAGAAGTAAGATGAGTGAGTGCCGTGGATGCATTGAGTAGTTGGTCTTTGTAATTAAGGCTGCCGTGGACCCTAAAGGACGTTGTAGCTATGTCTTAGGAGTTTGGGCTGGTTCCTGCAAGAGAAGACTCAGCCAGGCCTTGCAATATCACACAAGGGGCTGTCCAGAAACCACAGCCCCCAGCAGGCAGTCCCGAGAGTCAAGCTCAGGCCTCATCAACCACCCCTGGGAGGAGGCACAGTCCACCCTGTGCTCTGCACTTCCTTCCCCTGAACCCAGCAGGGTCGCCAGAGCCTCAGGCCTGCTTCCGAGGCTCTGGCTGAGTCCTCAGCCCTCTAGGTGACCCAAGCCCTTCTTTCCCCAGGCCTGCATCTGCAGCGGGAGCCAATGACCTGGTCCCATCTCAGTGAGGAGACAGAGGCCTTTGGGGCACCCTCACAACCTTTCTCTTGACTCTTCAGCCACACGTCAGCCAGTGATGATGAACTGTCAGCGGGCACAGACTCTGCTGGGATCTTGTTAAAATGCAGACTCTCAGGCCCCTGCTGCCAGTATGCAATCCGGAATCTGTATTTTCAGCTGGTGCCAACGACTCTAGTGGAGATGGTCTTTATACCACGCTGGCAGGCTCCAGAGCAGGGTCCCCTCTGCCCCACATGGTCCCTGTTCTAGGAAGCAGGCTGTTGTAAGGAAGAAATCACAAAACCTGGCCTCCCCCCATCCTTATGGGCAGATACTGTTAGCTACTGATCTTTTCACACACTTACCATGTACATCAGGAGAATTGAATTGCTGGTGCAATGGTTTCGGTCTTTTCATTGTCCTCTAAAATTTTTTATTTTTCTTATGAGACTAGGGTTTCATTCTCAACTCTTAGATTTCTAGTCTGAAACATCCTCCCAGAATATTTTGGACCATAGGTTTGTGTCACTGTGCCCAGCACTTTCAAAAATGAATTATAGAGAATCCCAAACACATACAAAGAGAAACAGTAGTGTCCTGGTTAGGATTTCTATTGCTGTGAAGAGATACCATGACCACGGCAACTCTTTTTTTTTTTTTTTTTTTTTTTTGAATTTATTTATTTATTATGTATACAGTGTTCTGTCTGCATGCATGCCTGCTGGCCAGAAGAGGGTGCCAGATCTCATTACAGATGCCTGCGAGCCACCATGGACCATGGCAACTCTTATAAGGAAAACATTTAAAAATTGAGGTGGCTTACAGTTTCAGAGGTTCAGTCCATCATCATCATGGTGAGACATGGTGGCGTGCAGGCTGACATGGTGCTGGAGAAGTAGCTGAGTGTCCTACATCTTGACTTGCAGGCAACAGGAAGTGGTCGTCTGAGATACTGGATGGCAGCTTGAGCACATATGAGACCTCAAAGCCCACCCCCACAGTGACACGCTTCCTCCAACGAGGCCCCACCTCCTCCTAAGTACACCTCACAAGTACAGTGCCACTCCCTCTGAGATTATGGGGGCCAGTTACCTTCAGACGATCACAAGTAGCTACTTTGCGACCATCATCCAAACCCAACCATCATTCCCAGCCAATCCTGTGTCCCACACCTCCATCAATGCCCTATTCTCCAACACTGTCTTTTTGCATTTATCCCACTATACTTTTATTTTATATGTGCACATACCACAGCTCACGTGTGACAGTCAGAGGACAACTCTCTGGTGTCTACTTCCTTCCTCTTCCATGTGGCTCCTGGGAATTGAACTCAGGTCTCCAGGCTTAGATGGCAAGGGCTTTACCTGCTGAGCCATCTCACTGGTCCTCCAACTGTATTTTTCTGATGCAAATTCTAGGCATTACATCATTGCACCCATGAATATTTTATCTTTTTCTCTCCTCCTCCTCCTCTCCCTTCTCCTCCTCCTCCTCCTTCTTCTTTTTTGACGGGGTTTCTCTGTGTAGTCCTGGCTGTCCTGAAATTTGTTCTGTAGACCAGGCTGGCCTTGAACTCAGAGATCTGCCAGCCTCTGCCTCCCCAGTACTGGGATTAAACTGTCATCATACCCAGCTTAAAGATTTATTTTGAATTACGCGGATATACGTGTATATGTGTAGAATGTACACATGGGAGCAGGTTTTGGCAATATCTAGAAGAGGAAAACGGATCCCCTTGGAGCTCAGGTCACAGGTGGATGTGAGCCATCCGACATGTGGGTGCTGGGAACTGAACTCAGGTCCTATGAAGGAGCAGTACAGGTTCTGAACCGCTGAGCCATCTCTCCAAGCTGTGAACCTGTTTTAAGTATCATTACCATTTAAGTGTTTAATGTGTTTGAATCCCCTGGAGTTATTTTTAGTCCGTCCGTCCACAGTGTCCTTTTCTGAGAAGCACGAGCCTTTCAAACTGTATTCCGTGTAGTCTTTCATCCCATGTTCTTTGAAGCTCCCAGCCTTTGTGACATTCTTTGACTTCTCCTATCACGCTGTCGTCTACACCAGCCTCCCTCTCAGCAGACTGGAGCTGTATGCGGCAAGCATCCTCACCTTATCATTTCCCTCAGAAGGGAAGCGGGGACCATGGCACCTTTTACACAGCTAAGATGACTTAGTGACTCTAACGGAATTGGGATGACAGCACCTGTCACAAAACAAGAGACACGTAAGCATGGTCCTCCCTCAGGACCCACGAAGGAGTGGTTCTCTGCCCTCGGGACACTAGAATCCCCAGATGGTCAAGTCCCTCCTATAAAATGGCACAGCTGGGTTGGGAGAGAGAGCTTGCCTACCACGCACAGAGCACTGGGTTGGATCCTAAGCACCCTATAAACTGGGCACGGTGCTACAGGCCTATAATGTCAGTACTGTGCAGAGGGGGAAAGATTAGAAATTCAGGATCGCTCCTCTATACATAGCAAATCTGAGGTCAGCTTGGGCTACAGGAGACCCTATCTCAAAGGGGGCGGGACCCAATATTTGCATATGGAGATTGTAAATCATCTCTGGGTTACTGTAATACCCGATACAGTATATGTAGTGTGTGAACATGGTTGAACTATATGATTAGGGAGTAATGACAAGAGAGGAAATCTGTGCAGGTTCCTTGAATCTTTGGGTTTGGAGCCGTGTGGATGAGCAGTTATGGAAGTCTGGGAGCCGTGTGGATGAGCAGTTGTGGAAGTCCGGGAGCCGTGTGGATGAGCAGTTATGGAAGTCCGATTTACTTGTCAAACCAACAAGAGTCCTGGGCGACGATGGAAACATTTCTTCCACGTCCCACCAGCAGAGCCTGACACACGGTCCCCAAACAGTTTTCAATCAGCAGACACGGCTGTCTAGCTGGGACATCCCTTATGACATCTGACAGGACAGAGCAGCAAGAGCCAGACTTCCAGCACGAGAGCACGAATACAATCTCAGCTACCCTAAGACGACTGACCTCACACTGACAACCTTCCCTCCACCCCAAGGCGCCGAAGCCCTGCTTCTGTGAATGGCACGCAGAACCAAAGCCTCACCTGCTCAAGATTCAGCCATGTGCCTTTTCTGCTGGACAGTCTCTTCCCGAAGACTTTGAGAGAGCCATAGACCTGAGGGAGTCAATGCCTCCCTAATCAGGTTCAAAATGTCCCAAACTAGGCATGTTCCAGTCAGATAAAGAAAGAAGCGGCAGCTGGGTGGTGGTGGCTCATGCCTTTGATTCCAAAGCTAGGGAGGCAGAGGCAGGCAGATCTCTGAGTTCAAGGCCAGCCTGGTCTATAGGAGTTCCAGGACAGCCAGGGCTACACAGACAAACCCTGTCTTCTAAAATCCAAAAATAAATAAATAAATAGTTAAATAAATAAAGTGGGTGGGGTGGGGGTGTGGACTGACTGCCGAGGGGAATTTCTTAGGCTCAAAGCTGCTCTTGGGTCTGCTGTAGATCGGCCTCAGCCCCCAGCCCCTTGCTGTGTGAACACTGGAATGTTGGGGACTGTCGTTTAACTGTCACCATGGTCTTCCTCATTTCCCTTTGTGGCCTGGGGTGAGCAAGAGGGGGCACAGCAGGGGAGGGACACGCCCACCAACTAAGCTCTGTTCCTCATCACCTCCTATAATGTCCACCGTTCCCTGCTAACCCCATCCTCACCTCCTCCTATAATGATCACCGTTCCATGCTAACCTCATCCTCACCTCCTCCTACAATGATCACCATCCCATGCTAACCCCATCCTCACCTCCTATAATACCCACCATTCTCTGCTAACCCCATCCTCACCTCCTTCTATAATGACAACTATTCCATGCTAACCCCATTCTTACACTGAGTACATTGAGTTCCTATAATGCCCACCGTTCCCTGCTAATCCCATCCTCAGCTCCTATAATGCCCACCGTTCTCTGCTAACCCCATCCTTACCTCCTTCTATAATGACCACTGTCTCATGCTAATTCCATCCTGACCTTCTTTCATGCAGAAAGGAAAGAAAATCCCTTGACTCCAAAATGGCATCAGGAGATACAAAGACAAGCCTCAAGGATGCCTACCCTTCTGCCAAGAGGCTGTCCCTGCAGGAGGAGGAGGGAGAGGCTGAGGACTACTGCACCCCTGGACCCTTCGAGCTGGAGCGCCTCTTCTGGAAGGGCAGCCCCCAGTACACACACGTCAACGAGGTCTGGCCCAGACTCCACATTGGTGATGAGTAAGTTCCAGGCCCAGCCTTACGTTGTCCTTACGTCACCCTGGGAAAGGCACAAGTGCTTCCTCAATCACTCTGTACAGCTCCTAGTCACAGGCCTTGTCTTCCAAGTCAGTTGATCTATGAGAAATATATTAGTTAGGGCTCATCTCCATTTTATAGAAAACTCAGAAAAAAGAGCCTTAGGCAAGGTAGGCTTATTTTTCTCTTATGTAGAAGTCCAAAGGAGGGCTATCTGGGGCAACGATGGTGACTGCAGGGATGCCGAGATGAGAGCTTCTGTGCATTGCTTCACCATCATGAGGGTCTAACATCCTTCTTCAGGGTTGCTCAGGACCCAGAATCCTCACAGGGCTCTGCTATGAACCATAGGATCCAGACAAAAGGAAAGTCAGGAGAAAGGAAGTCAAGAAGGGCAGCTTTCCAAGGAGAAATCTAGCCCAAGACTTCCCCTGCACCTAGCTGCAAGAGAGGCTGGGATATGTGGTCTTCTATTTTACTGACTATTAACAACAGCAGGAACAGGAGTGTGGCACAGGAGGACCCCAAACTATGTGTCTGAAAAACAGTAGTCAAAATTGAGGTCACTGCCCCTTTCTAGGTCTTATACTCAGTTTCCCCACTTCACAAACAACTGAGAAATATCTATGGTAGGTGATGAGGATGAGGATGAGGATGAGGATGAGGATGGCCATCATTAAGGACCACTGCATGGTAGGCACTATGCTTAGAACCCTGCAAACACAACCTCATTTGGCCCATGATAACTCAAGGAGAGAGAATCTCTCAAGGTAAGGAACCTGAGTCACAGAGCTGTTTAGTTAGTACCCTCTATCCTAAAATCTTGATGACAGAGAGCTGAAGCTCATGACTTCTACTTAACCCCCCCCCCACTATCATCCTTCTGAACTTCATGCCCTGCCTATCCTTAGAGCAGATGTGCAGGACCCTATGCATATTGCTCTTAATACCCAGCTGGCTGCCTACAAACCAGAGGTAAATTATCTAGCATGGGCAATAGCCCTTGTCATATTTTTCCCTTAACCTTTTTTTTTCCAAGCTATGAGAAGTTAGAAAAATTGCATGCCCTTACCTACTAAGTTAAACATGGGGGTTATAAAAGCAAACTATAAACCAAACATGGTTCGGCATGCCTACAATCCTAGCGTTTTTGAGGTAGAGATAGGAAGATTAGAAGTTCAAGGTCAACCTTCGCTACATAGTAAATTCAAGGCTAGCCTGGGCTCATGAGACTGTCTCAAACAGAATAGAAACAAACAAATGTACAATCTCTCTCTTTCCACTCTTAACAAGTATTAAGACAATATTAATATATTTATGTTAAGTATGACAATATTTTCAATATTTATTCATTTATTTTTAATATATGAGTGCTCTGTCATCATGTATGCCTGCATGCCAGAAGATGGCATCAGATCCCATTGTAATAGATGGCTGTGAGCCACCATGTGGTTGTTGGGACTTGAACTCGGGACCTCTGGAAGAACAGCCAGTGCTCTTAACCACTGAGCCACCTATCCAGCCCCCTTTAAAAAGCATTTTTTTCTGCCGGGCGGTGGTAGCGCACGCCTTTAATCCCAGCACTCGGGAGGCAGAGGCAGGCGGATCTCTGTGAGTTCGAGGCCAGCCTGGGCTACCAAGTGAGTCCCAGGAAAGGCGCAAAGCTACACAGAGAAACCCTGTCTCGAAAAAACCAAAAAAAAAAAAAAAAAAAAAAAAGCATTTTTTTTTGGGGGGGTCTTTTTTTGTTTTTGAGACAGGGTTTCTCTGTGTAGCTTTGGAGCCTGTCCTGGAACTCATTCTGTAGCCCAGGCTGGCCTCGAACTCACAGAGATCCGCCTGACTCTGCCTCCCGAGTGCTGGGATTAAAGGTGTTCACCACCACCGCCGGGCTTAAAAGCATTTTTATTGTGTATGTGTGTGTGTGCATGTGAGTACAAGTGCCAGCCACAGTGCGTGCATGGAGGTCAGAGGATAATTAGCTGCAGTTGGTTCTTCTCCACCAAGTGGGAACCACGGATTGAACTCAGGCCAGGCAAGCACCTTTACCCACTGAACATCTTGCTAGCCCCCATCTGTGGAGTTCATGTGCTATTTCTACTTGCTGTGTGCTGTTTCAAACGTAAGGAAACACACACATACACACACACACACACACACACACACACACACACACACACATACGAGGCATTTTCATTTCTTTTAAACAGAATGATTTTTTTCTAAAGATTCATTGTCATTATGTATACATACGTATGCCTGGGGTTGGGGGATGCGTATGAACGCAGGTGCCAGCAGAGGCCAGGGCGTCAGACCCCCGGGAGCTGTAGTTATGGGCAGTTGGAAGTGGCCCAAGGTGGGTGCTGGGCACTCCCGGGGTCCTCTTTAAGAGCAGTGTGAGCTCTTATCCACAAACGGGCCTTTCGTTTTGTTTGCCGAGACAGGGTCTCAGTAGCCTTCAACTCCTGCTTTTCCTGCCTCATCCCCTCAAGCACTGGGATCAGAGGCACACACTACCATGTCTGGGCTTAAACACTTTCTTCTTAAAAACCAAATCCCACCATGTACGCCATTCTGCGTTTTTAATATTCCACAGTATAACTGCGGTACAATTTGTCCAGTCGTTTCCCAGTTGAGAACATTAGGGTGACTCAGGCGAGGGGTGCACAGAACTCAATGTACTGTTTCCTCTTAGAATTCAGCTCTGTTGGGATAGAATTCAGATACCAGGAAACCCAGCCTCTTAAATCATACAATTCAGGGATTTTATGACATCTGCCGAGGTGAGCAACCGCCGCCACTATCTAACTGAGAACGTTTGTATCATCTCCAGAGGAAACCAGGATCCTCTAAGCAGTCACTCCTCACCCCCCCCCCACCCCACCCCCACCCCCCGCAGCCACCGGTCTACCTTCTGCTTTTATACCTTGGCCTAGCCTGGACATTGTATGGCAATGGAATGATACGACCTGGCGGGCTTTTGTAACTGGCTTGTTTTTCCTCTGCATGCTCTTCCCAGTTCATCTACCCGGTGGCATTTGCTTTTCATTCCTACCAAACAACCTCTGAGTTCCATCTCTAAGTTCTCCGTAAGTCAAATTTAGCTTTTGTCAAAGAGGCGTGCATACACTTTGACCTCAGCTATCACTTTAGGAAACATAATTCACAGACACAAGAGTGCCAATACATAAGGGTGCAAGCCCAATACTGTTTATACTAAGACTGACACAGAAAACAATGGAACACTGGGGGGACCTTCAGGTCTGGGACTAAGCCAAACTCTATCCCTATGCAGTCCGCTTAGACCCAATGAAACAGGCCACTCCCATGTCTCAGGGCCCTTCAACGTAGCAATTCATATCTCAGTGTTACAGTCCACTCTGATTCCACACTTCCTGCTCCATGGTCAGTGGAGTCCAGGCTCCAGACTGACAGGGCAACCCCCATGTGGGACTGCTGGGACATTTTTCTCTCTTGCAGCAGAGAGAAAAGAAAGGCACGGTTAAATGGTGACCTGACTGATACATGATGCATGCCATGGGGTTTGTTTGTTTGTTTCTAGGGTACTCTCATGTAGCTGAGGCTCCTTTCCCAATGCCCAATCTTCCTACCTCTACCTCTAGCTCTGAGATTACAGCCATGCACCCCCAGACCCAGCTGACCCATGACCAAGCAAGTCCATGCCAAAGCCTCCTGGGGACAGGGTCAGGAAAGCAGAACCCACCCCTGATGAGGGAGAACAAACATTCTAACGGCAGTACAACTTACCATGGCCCCCCGGGAAGGTGTGGTGGCTTTTGGACAGGGCCTTTTACCTCTCTGGACCTATGTCCTCAGTTTTAAAATACTTGCTGAGAAACTTCAAAGCCAAAAGAAAGCATTTTGGAAACAGTAAAGAGACAGACAAATGCAAATGTCACTGTCACTGTTGTTAGTGAAACGTCCAGAAACATAGGTGAAGGCCAGCCTGTGGAAGGCTGGACGCCAGGTAAGGGTGGCATTCACAGAAGCATCGTGAGTGTCTGAGAATGGACACATTCTGGTTAAGAGGTTCCAGACAGTGGCAACTGACCACAAGCTCCCTTGGCCTGTGATGCTAACCCTGCTTCTTTCAATCACGAAAATGTCAGCCTTTTCAATTCAATTAAACTTTGCGCGCGCACACACACACACACACACACACACACACACACACACACACGCACACACACACACACACGCACACACACACCCCTCTTACACTCAGAGGCCAGGCAGCTCCAAGGTCAACTGTGTGACCTAAACACAGCAGGGCCGGGAATCAACTCAACCTCGTGCTTGACTCTGATCCTGGGTTCAGGGTGTGACACCCACTAATCACGGTTCACAGACTTCAAAGGGCCAAGGATCTCACGGCAGTACAACCAAGCGAGACTAGAACCCCAGCTGCAGGATGACAGGAACGCCTGAGTTTCTTGGCCTCTCTGGAGGAATTGCCCAATGCCGGAAGCTGGCTCCACGGGCTTAAACTTTCATTTAATATTTGTACCGAGGATGAGTTTTCCTTTTATCCAAAAAGCCCTTAAGATTTCTGAAAGCCAGGTACCAGATTCTGGAGGACAGTTTGGCAGTCCAGACACAGGAGTAAGGACAGATGGATGGATGTTCTGGGCCACCAAGGCCACCCAGGAGCCTAGGCCGGTGACTCTTGGGAGTGGCCAGAATTATCCCTAAGATGACCTCTATTCTTTGTCCTCCAGGCCTTCTTTACAGAAACCAGCAGGGAGTTGAGCCCTTGGGCCACAATGTCTGGTTTCTGTAGGACTTTGGCGGGGCTATCAAGTTCTCTGAGGTTGAATTTCTTCATCTATATGATTTAGGTCTTAATATGTTAAGACGTATCAGAGCTTATTGCAATGCCTAGTACCCTCAAGTATGAACTATTACAGACGAGACGGGTTCTAGAAATTTGACAGAATGTGGGAAAAAGCACAGGTTAAGCA